ACATCAACATTTTTTTTCACTTCCTAGTACAAAGAGGGGTAGCTATTTCAAAATTAAAAAGAGGTGATGTAACTTTGGGAACATAGCTAGGGTAGTAAACTATTCCTGCACCTGCCCACCCTGCCAGCATTTACCCATGTTCTTATGCTCTAAGAGGTACTGGCTTTCTTGTCTCACTTTTCCCTACAACTTTGTCATGGTAAATGACTTCTTGCAAGATTTAACCATGCTAGCTGGGCAGTTCTCCTTGCAAGTAACTGTGGATGTGGCCAGGACACTTCAGACACTGAGGATAACACAGAATTACCCTGGGCTCAAATGTATTTTGCTAAGAAATTCTTGTGCTATAGAACTGGGGGTTTGCGAATTATAAACTATATATGTTTAATCAAAAACTTACAGCAAAAATTTTTTTTAAAGAGTTTAATGCATTTTTAAAATAGGCACATAGATACAGAACATACTAGTCCTCCAGAATTTTTCCAGTGTGTCACAGCTCAAAATATATTTTGTAACCTTACACCTACTGCTGTAGATTTTTACAGTAAATCTAAAAGAATTAGTTTTATGAGTGTGGACTTGTATGTTATGAAGTAGTAGAAAAAAGAAAATGACGATTCTATGCAAATACCAAACTAGTCATAGTACATACCTTAATTTTCATGTGCAACACTATCTTAAACATGTAATACACTCAATCCATCTACACAATACTAAAATCTGTTAAAAAAAATTGTCTCTGAAAGTTAACATTACTCAGCAAAACAAATGATAAAAAGCTAAAGCACAATGTTCTAGTAAATCATTCTAAAATGCTATAAAATATTAATGAGGTGCCTAAAAGAAACATTGTTTCTGCTGGAAAAAAAAAAATAGGTACAGGCAGGCTCCACTTTACGTTTTGTTTAACAGCAATTTTCAATTACAGGAGGGTTCTGCTTATGCAGTAAGTTAGGTTCTGGTCTACTACTGTAAAGTGAATCATAGTCTTTTTCTCACTTTCAAATACATATTAAAACCTGATAACATGTTTACACTATCATATATTAAGTGAGCAATATAGCTAGGCCTAAAAATGCATATACAGTACATACATTATTTACCTTAAAATATTTCCATCCTTAGCTTATAGTGAATGGTGAATATATTTATTGTAGGCAGTCTGAATAAATGAAGAATGGGTATAAGTGAAAACTGCTGTATTAGTAAAATGTTGTAAAGTGGGGCCTGCCTGTATACCCATTCTTCATTTATTCAGACTTCCTACAATAAATACATTCACCACTCGCTGTAAGCTAAGGATGAAAATATTTTAAAAGTCATGTGTGTACTATATATGCATTTTTTAAGCCTAGCTATATTGCTCACATGTTATCAGGCTCTTATATGCATTTTAAAGTGAAAAAAAGAAACAATTTACACCGATTTTCACCTTACAGCAGTAGCGCAGAACCTAACCTGTTATGTAAGCGGGACTCTCTTGTAATGAGGGAAATAGCCTTTTTTCTATATTAACTAGAGATCTACCTCATGTTTTCAAACTAAATACAGTACCATACATAATTTTTTCACTATTTATCTTGTAAATTTTTTTACTTGTGAAAATTCTGTGGCTTACAGACATATTATTTTTTTAACGGTTGTGTAATACACATGCAACACTGGCAGCTATCTATCATAACCATGCTACTGCATATTTTCAGGGCCTTAGGAACTAAGATACATAAATCTCATCAGCACTTGAAACATTTTTGATATTAAAACACAAAATGATTTTACTGTAAGTAGCCATTACTTCCAGATACAACAAAATAATAATTTAAAAAAAAAAAGGATGAAAGAATGAGGTGACTCTGCAACAATACCATAGATGAAGAGTCGAAGTTAATAAACAAAAGCAATATAGGGAAGAAAAAAAAATACTGAAAGATACTGAGGTTTGACAAATGGGACATGTTCATGAAGGATTCTGCAGATTCATTTAAATATAAATTATTAAGTGAATACAAGTTACTTTTCTTTGTCACAAAAATACTGCAGTCTCTTCCCTTAACTTTCAATATATAATTCAGATATATCTAAATGATCAGTTATAATTCCTGGCTCTTTACTAGGACATTTAGTAACACTCCAGCAGTTTAAATTATATACTTGTGTGCTTGACAGCACTTGTTGTGCCTTACAAAGTTGAACACAAAAATTAAGTTAATGGACGGACTCTTTACTAGTTTGGATTTTTACTGCAATTCAGAGCAAATTTCATCTTTAAAAATAAAAATATCTACAAAGTCTTCTATATACAAACAAAATGAAAGCTATCCATTGAATTCAATTAATATTATCCTATAATACAGCTAGAGATTGTATATCATTCAAATTTTTTCTAGACTATGCATAACTACAAATGATTTTAATGGCTTATACTGAGTCTTGGTTTCCCTTACTATATATGTTATTTGTACAAACGAAGGATTATAAAACTTTAATGTCTCAGAATTTTAACTAAATAATGGTTATAAAGGGAAGTAATCAACAGATTCTGAAGATAATAATGATAATAATAATAATAATAATAATAATAGCAATAAAAAAATACTGAGGTAACTTTGAAAGCATAAGAGTTTATTAACTGGGACTACAAAAACTAAAGCATAAAAGGCAGAATTCTAAACCAATACACAAAGAATTATCATCTAACTTTTATTTAATACCTCTATACTACAGGTAAGTTGCAAAGAAGTAGGGAACCCATTAAATAGAAATGCTCTGGATGTATATGGACATTGTTGAATGACGGATAAATGATTTATGCCAATTTTCAATCCTTCAACTTCATAAATAAAAATCTATTAATTCAATGCTTTTTAGGTGAAGAAAATATACATATTCTGGTTATACCATTAAAATGTCTAAAGAATCCATATTTATAATATTATAAATTAATGAAGACATCTTTATCAATCATTCATCAAAACAGTCCTCAATATTTTACAATATCCAAAAATACTTTTACTCATACAATGTAAGTAGCCATCAACTGCCTCGCCTCTCCATTAAAAAAACAAAAACAAAAAAATAAGAAATGTGGCAGGTATAACTGTTGCAACTCTGATATGTTAAAGGAAGACAAAATTTTTTTAAATCTAAGATCACCATATCAAATTCAAGATGAGGCAGTTAAATGAAGTATTTCTGGCTCAACATGTCTCCAGTTTAGTTTAACAAGCATTTTTTTTTAAAATATACTGGTTGTCTCCCACCAAGGTAGGGTTATCCAACAAAGAAAATGCTATATATAAGAAAACAATGAATGGTATATTAATCTGTAATCTATAAGAAGAAACTCAAGTCAGTGTTTGAATATTTATACTCTCTTAATTTCAGATTTTTATTTTTAATGTTCTTTTATTTTTTAAACACACTGGTCATCTCCCACTGAGGTAAGGTGACCCCAAAAAAAGTGGAAACACATTTACTGTCATTCTTTCAATAACCGTCTTGCCACAAGTCGACTGACATCACAACTCAAATGACCCTCCAAACTGCAACATCCTCACCCCTTCCCTTAGAGTGCAAGCACTGTACTTTTTACCTCTAGGACTTTAGTCTGGCTAACCAGTTTCCTTGAACCCCTTCATAAATGTTACATTGTTCACACTCCAACAATACATCATAAAAACACCTTTCCTCCACTCTGATTCAACACACTTACACATGCCTGTTGGATGTTCAAACCTGTAGTATTCAAAACCTCCTTTACTCACTCCCTCCAACCCATCCTGGAATGACCCTTGCCCTCCTTTGTTCCGCTTTAGATTTATATAGACTTCTCTTAGTCACTGTATTTTGTCTCATCTTCTTTAAATGTCCCATACCTTCTATCTCCACACTCCAGATTCTCTGCATAATATTCACACCACACATCGCCCACATAAATGAAATCTCCACTGCCTCCATTTTTGTTCTTGCTGCAGCACTTCAAACCATGCTTCACATACATATAGCAGTGGTGATACAACTATATTTTGGTATATTTTTCTTTTGCCTCCAAGGATAAAGTTCTTTGTCTCCACAGATGCCTCAATGAACCACTCACCTTCTATGGTTCACCTTGCTATTCATACACCCATCTGCCGATAATTTCATTTCCAGATATCTGAACACAATTGCTTCCTCCATACTCCTTTACTGCTTTTTAGTAACCCACTACCTATTCCATACCACCCTATAAACTGTTTTTTCTGAATCCATAAATGTGAAACAATTTCTTGCTTTTAAGTATTGTTCACTTATATGTTTCATTATCAACACTTGATCTACACATCCCTTACCCTTCTTAAATTATCCCTTTTCTTCTGTAATTGTATTCTTGTCCCCTTGTAATATTTGGTATATTTTCATCATATATTATCCAGATTGTATGTTAGAAGAGCCAAATTATTAATCAATATAAATGTCACTTGCACAATAGTAAGCATCAAATGTACTTCATTAAATAAAATTCATTGCATAATTGACCATAAATTTTGCATAATTTTGAGAAACTGAGCTAATTTACCTTACTTTGCTATATTTCTAAAATATTTACTGATGATGAAATCAAAGTGATATATATAGCTGCAGTAGCTTTAAACAGCTCTGTATTAAATGATCTTGGCCAAATAAGAAGAGCAATGATTTGTTTCAAGTCAATTATCAAAGAAAATATAATTGTTCATCAGATATAAGTGATTAGGTATGTACAAATTAGATTTTATAGATGCAAATAATAATATATAATACCATTGAAGATAACAATCATGCTATGTATATTTCTGAGATTTCTATGTCATTTTTATCATTATCGTCACACAAACAGCAAGACAAAATAATGTACACTAAAACTCACACACGTCATAGCAAAACAAAAAAAGGGGAAAACTAAACATATTATGTCAAGAAAAAAAAAAGACACAAATGACTAAAATCATGGAGGGTTTACTGACTTCCTCCGGTCATACCTATACTAGGAGCATAGGTGGAGTGAGGGCGACCATTAACTTGTGGACGAAGCATCAATTCCAGTGTGTGTATCCCAGCATTTGTAGTTATGGTACAGCCTGCTAAAATTTCTATATTTCGCCAACGCTGTTCTCTTTCACGCAGCTCCTGGGTTACTTCTTCCATAATGGTTCTAAAAAAATAATTTATTTTTTTATAGTAGTAAAATAATATAATGAAAAACTAAGGTTTGGTATATTTTACACTATTTAATAATGGGCTCCTTACTGCTAGACAACTTACATGCTAAACACTAAAGCAAGTTAAGAATTAGAACACAGGTACTGTATGTCTGATAAACGTGTGGTAAAATGGAAAGAAATTGCAGTCAACATAAAACCTGCATAAGAAATGTATTATGATATTAAGTCAAACAATAATACATAAAAAGCTGAAGTAATAGTTTAACAAATATAAAGAGTACATGCACTATGTGCACTCTAATCTTTGTGCACAAGTGTACTCACAAAGTATATAATTTATGTCATAATGACTTTGTTACTAACATATATCAGAAGCCAATAGCCACTCTGAAAAAATAAACATGAATATGGTAATATAAATAATACTGTAAGAAAATACATGTGCCCTGTCACAGACTTACCATTCATTATGTCTGATTTATTAAGTGATGCACATTGATTACTTCCACAAGAGCTTTTACAGTGTTGTCTGTAACAAGGGAGATAAACTGAACTACTTTTTCACAGTGAATGCTTATATATGGTAAACTGACATACAGTGGTCTCTAGTTAGGATCAGCTCAAGTTATGATAATTCTGAGTTATTTAAAGCAAATGGTGCCAAGAAGAAGTGTGTGTATGGAGTATGGTGTAGCAAAACAGTGTCTGACACTTGCAGAAGTTAGGAAAAGCTTATGGAAAAATGTTATGAAGTGCAGTGCAGATCGATGCTAGCTATCTACCTATATGTCTCCCACACCATCTGTGATAGTACTGCTGAAGCTTTACAGCTCCTCTGACTCAGTTATTCTAGGTCACCACTAGACCACATGGGAATACTGTACATATATCTGTAAGCTCCTCTATCCACCAGAAACGGTAAGAAAAATTATCATACTGTACTTTACTGTACTGTGCTGTATTTTAACTCATTTTCTTCTCAGGTGCAGGTACATTTGCTACTATGTCATATGCTAGTTTATTCTTAGTATGTCCAGAAGTCCTTGAATACAGAGGACTAAGTCTGTTTTATTTGGTATTTGTCCAAGTCTGGTAGTCAATCAATTAGGCAGATTACATCCACTTAATTGGAACTTTCAATATAATGATTTTTTTGTTAAAGTGGACACCCTTTTTATAATAATAATAATAATAATAATAATAATAATAATAATAATAATAATAATAAAAAGTAATAATAAATAATAATAATAAATAATAAATAATAATAAATAATAAATAATAATAAATAATAATAAATAATAATAATAATAATAGTACTTTATTTTGACATGATACATTGTTGTTCAAAGGAATATAACAGTTGGGTGTGCATGCCAAAATCCCCTTTGTATGCAGAGCATTTCGGGCAAACTTAAAATTAACATAAGATTAATAAGGCGTTCTATTAAGTAATGCTGTATGGCTGTAATAAGTCTAGTGGTGCAGTTCAGTATAGAATAATTAGTTTTGATATAGTTTACAATAGTACAATATTACAATTTAGAACAAGTTAAAACAATTCACAATATGAAGTATTACAATTTAGTACATTTGAAAACAATGAGACTGAAACATTTTTGATATAGTTTATAAATAGTACAGTACAGTATTACAATTTAGAAGTTAAAATAATTTACAATATGAAGTATTACAATTTAGTACATTTTAAAACAGTGAGATTGAAACACTTTTATGCTTGAAGTAATGAGTAAATGGTTGAGCAATCATCAGTAATATGCAATAATGAAATTGCAACAATTTTAAGTTCGAAGTAGATTATCAAATAATTGGGCAATCTTAAATTATTTAGATTATTATTATTATAATCAAGGGGGAAGCGCTAAACCCAGAGGATTATACAGCGCCTGGGGGGGGGGATGTGGAAGGCATTCAGGCTTAATTCGGGGAACTGGAGCACAGATCCAATTCCCTAAATCAAGAGCCCCTCACCAACATCAAGGAACCTTCCTTGAGGGGTAAATTATTTAGAAACTTCAGTAATTAGCAGGTATTAAGTACAGTGTTTGTCTGGTTAATTTTGTGTGATGAGGTGATTTCTAAGTAGGGCCTTAAATTGATTTGCAGGCAGGGGTCCTTTAGTGTGTTCTGGCAATGAATTCCAGAGATTTGGGCCCTTTACGTGCATAGCATTTTTGCATAGGGAAAGATGGACACGAGGGATATTGAAGAGTGATTTGTCTCTCGTATTATGGTTGTGTGTTCTGTTATAGTTATCAAGGAGGAGTTTGAGAGGAGGGTTTATATTTGAGTGTAATGTACTGTGTATGTAGTAGGCACAATAATAAGTGTGGATGTTTTGTATATTAAGCAAGTTAAGACTCTTGAAAAATGGTGGAGTATGTAGTCAAGTGAAGGAGTTAGTAATCAATCGCACCGCAGCTTTTTGTTGGGTTATTAAAGGTTTAAGGTGATTTGCTGTGGTTGAGCCCCATGCACAAATACCATAGGTGAGGTAAGGGTAAATGAGAGAGTGATAAAGAGCAAGAAGAGCTGACTGGAGTACATAGTATTGTATCCTTGAAAGGATGCCTACTGTTTTGGAGACTTTCTTGGATATTTGTATGTGTGTTTGAAATTTGAGACTGCAGTCAAGGTGGAGACCTAGAAATCTGCCCTCTGTCTGTCTAGAAATGAGTGAACCATTTATCAATATGTTTAGCTATACATTTGATGTTCTGTTCCAAAACAGCATGAAGCAGGTTTTGTCTATATTGAGAGTAAGTTTGGTAGTCATCCAAGTCGATATTTTTAGCAGTTTGGCATTTACAGTGTCTGTTAGTATGGTTGGGTTTGGATGAGAGAAGACATAAGTAGTGTCATCTGCAAATATAATGAGTTTAAGGAGATAAGATGCATTTGGGAGGTCACTGATGTAAATGAGAAAGAGAAATAGGCCACGAACACTCCCCTGTGGGACTCCAACAAGAACAGGTTGTGAAGTGGAGCTAGCTCCATTTGTGTATACATACTGGTTTTTAAATGGGATATAGATAGTGAGATGTTTAGATACCTGCCAAACCTAAAGCGATACATCAATGATATCCCAAAGGATGACAAAACAGACAGCCAATGTCTTCAAACACTATTTTTAAACATCATTGAGTCAACTGTTGAGCAGTTCTCTACAAGGTTTGCTAAGTTCACAGAACTTGATGAGACTGCAAAATTCATGAAGTTTCCAGACAGTAAAAATCTGGATGAACTAAACTTGCAGATGTTTTCATGGATAGATATGGATGATTTTGAAATGCAGTTGATTGAATTTCAAAGTAGCTCAATTTGGAGACAGAAATTTGTTGACCTTAGAGCTAACTTGGAAAATATTGAAAATGAGTTATTAGAGATAGGAGTAACAGAGAGAAATGTGGAAAACGAAGTATTAAGGACTTGGAATGCTATTCCACAAAATTTTGTCTCTCTGAAGAACTTTGCAACAGCATTATTATCCGTTTTTTCATCTACTTATTCTTATGAATCATTGTTTCAGTGATGAACTTTAAGTCTTGTAATAGGAGCAGCCTTACAGATGAAACTAGTAGCGCATGTATATCTCTCAAGGTTACAAAATAGAAGCCTGATATACATTATCTGTCATCAGTGATGCAGCAGCAGAAGTCTCATTGATGGTAAATAAATAAAAGGTGCACAATTTTTCTCTCTCAAGTTTTGATTTGATATTTTCTGCTAAAATGGTAAATATTTACTTCTGTTTAATATAATATGTATTTTATAAGTAAATTATTATACAGTATTTTCTCTGTGATTTTTATGTATCATTCTTAACCCTTTGACTGTTTTGGTCGTATATATACGCCTTACGAGCCACAGTGTTTGATGTATATACATATATATGTATACTCAAAAATTCTAGTGGCTTCAAATCAAGCAGGAGAAACCTGGTAGGCCCACATGTGAGAGAATGGGTCTGTGTGGTCAGTGTGCACCATATACAAAAATCCTGGAGCACGCAGTGCATAACGAGAAAAAAAACTCTGACCGTGTTTTTGGATTAAAATGCTGATTTTGAGGTGTATTTTCGTATAGTATTTATGGTTGTATTCTCGTTTTCTTGGTCTCATTTGATAGAATGGAAAACTTATTATAGAAATAGAGGTGGTTTTGATTGGTTTTACTATGAAAAGAACCTTGAAATGGAGCTCAAAGTAGGGGAAATGTTTGATTTTTGCCGATGTTCAAAAGTAAACAAATGATGTCATTGTCCAATAAATGTCCAACTAGCCATTCTAATATGCAGTCATGAATGGGTTGACATTATTTATACAATTATTACAATATTGCAGTAGTCTACATAACAGTAAATCTTCAATTTTTTGCTTGAATAAAAATTCAAAATAGAAAGCAAGAGTAATATCAGAGGGGCCTGGAGACATGACTGATGAACAAAGAAATGTTATTTTAGAGCAAGGAATCTCTGCTTTGTTCATTCTGGACCCTATTTTGAAATTGGCATATTTTTAATTTGCGTGAAATTGGCCAAATTGCAAATTTCTGACCACGTTATTGGGTAGTTGAAATCGGTAAATGAGCAGTTTCTTGTACTCAATCGATAGAACAAATGGAGTTCTAAAGAAATAGCTACGAGTTTGGTCGACTGGAACAATGGAATTAGCCGAAAATAGGACTCAAAATGGGCGAAACCGCTGATTCATAAATATTGCCAAGGTCGCTAACTTCATGACAGCATAATTCTGTACGTTTTCCATCATATTTCATTCTATTGGTGTCATTACCATCGAGAAAAGATTCTCTATCATTTCATAAGATTTTTTTTTTTTTTTTTTTTTCAAAAATTTTTCGACACCAGGAGACACCTCAGGATTTGGGGTTGCGACAGTCAAGTGGTTAAGGGATTAAAAATCAGTAAAAGGGTATCTTGAATTTTATGTCCTTTTGTTGTGTTTTAGTC